CACCAAACATCTTCGCCGGTAATACGTCGGCTTCCCACGCGCAGCTGTTTCCACGCGTCTTCGCTCGCTGGTGGTAGACACACACTGCTGCCTATAGCAGAGTCTTCACCCCTCAGGTGAAAATCTTCTTCTTTTCCTTCTTTGTCACTGAAGACAAAAGGCTTCGCCCACATGGCGGAAAGACCCCCCGCACACTAGCGCAACATTCCTTCTACTCCTCCGTCACTGAGGACAAGAGGCTTCGTTGACAGACACGGCGGAAACACCCTACGCACACTGGCGTGAAATTCCTTCTCCTGCTCTCCCATATTTGCTGCTCGGTTAAATACCCTTCGCACTAGATTCCAGAAAATTCTCATCGTTTCCGTCGGCGCAATGCGCAGCAAAGGCTGGGGAAAGCGCGAGACGTTTCGAGGGCCGTCCGCGATACATGACACATCTCTGCATCACCACGCCCCTTTTCCTCAAGAACCTTCCAGGGCTTGCTCGGCCGCCGATGTGAGGAGGATGGTCGGCGAGACTACGCTTCCGAGAGGGGAGGGACGGCGCGCCCGGGAAGCCTTTGGATGTTTGTTTTTTCTTTATCGTTGACCTTGAGGCGCCTCTTTGCGCTTGGTATCGTTACTGTCGCTAGAATTCGACGGCGCGCGCTTTTTCGGTGTGCTCGTTTGTGACAGCTGTGTTGGGTTTCTTCTCTGAAGGACCCCACTGGACGACTTGGCCAACGGGCATTACGCCTACAGGAATATTCCTACTCAGTTGCTTATAAATCTGGACGTCTCCATCTGGACGCCGATTGCTTATCCCGCTACCGTGTTGATCAGCCCGAGGGATCATACATCGAACCTAGCCTCAGCGTCATGTCGATGTCCCACTCTCTTCAGATTGGCGATGAACAACGTCGTGATGCTTCCCTTCGACAACATTTTGACCGTCTCGAATCTGCTCCGAACGACGCGTCGCTTCGCATGTTCGTCCTCCTGAATGACACGCTGTGCCGTCGTAGCCTCCAGCCAGATGGCCCTGAGCTCCTTCTTGTCGTGCCGAAACATATGCGTTCAACCGTGCTGCGCGAGCTTCACAATGACCCAACTGCTGGTCATCTTGGTGTATCTCAGACGTACGACCATGTGCATCACCACTTTTTTTGGCACGGTCTCGCCAGGTCCGTTCGCCGTTACGTGTCCTCCTGCGATAAATGCCAATGTAGGAAGTGACCTAATGCGCCCCCGGCTGGACTTCTTCAACCGATCTCCATCTCAACCGAACCTTTCTTCCGTGTTGGTATATATCTTCTTGGTCCTTTTCCTGAGTCGAAATCCGGCAACAAGTGGGTCGCCATTGCTATAGACTTTGCGAATAGGTATGCCATCTCTCGAGCGCTCCCCACCAGCACCGCTACTGCCTTTGCGGACTTTTGCTCCACGATGTCATCCTACACCATGGCACTCCTCGCCAATTACTCACGGATGGCGGCCACGCATTTTGGTCCCGAGTAATCGACGATTTTCTGTGCTCTTCCTTGGCGCAGCACAAGTGGACCACTTCCTACCATCCCCAAACAAATGGCCTTACCGAACGCCTAAATCGCCCCCTCATGGACATTCTCGCGATGTATGTGTCCTCCGACCACCATGACTGGGACCAGCCGCTACCTCACGTGACCTTCGCGCACAATTCTACGCGCCAAGACACCACTGGTTATTCACCCTTATATTTGCTCTATGGCCGTGATCCGACGTTACCACTCGACACCCTACTTCCAACAACTACAACTCCGTCAAGCGAATATGCACGCGACGTTATTGCTCGTGCTGACCACGCACGTCAGATTGCCCACTCTAGACTTCCAGCTTCGCAAGCCACCCAGAAAGCAATCTTCGACAGCCTGCATATTGACGTTCTTTTGTCACCCGGTTCTCTCGTTCTCCTGTGGTGCCCAGTTTGTCGAGTTGGCTTATCAGAGAAGTTGTTGTCTGACTACATGGGTGCTTACCGTATCATCCGCCAGGTAACCGACGTCACGTATGAGATCATTTCTGCATCAGAGACCTCAAGTCTGCCTGCAACCACACCCAGTGATGCTGTGCGCGTCATCAGGCTAAAAACTTACCACCTGCCTACTGAAAACCGTAACTAATGTGCACCGAGACACGCAGCTGACAGATCAGCGGTCAGAAGACGACAACGAGGAAGTGGTCTGTCGGATGTGCGTGCTTCCCTCCATCTTAATCGATGTTATACGCATCATTTTCAATATAGATTCTAAATAGACACGCCTCGCGTCATTTTACGTAACAATATAAACTGAAAACTAGCATTTTTTCCAGGCCCTAAGTTATATGACCGACTACGCACCACTGCGAGAGGGACCAGAGCAAAAGAGGAAACGACGTACTCTGTGTCGGTCACAAGATATTTTTGTGAAACGAAAGATTTTGTTTTCTCTTGCAATGGTCATAACCCCAATATTGTGATGAATAACATATTGTGGCAGCAGCACACACTCTCCCGAATAACTACGTGTCTATGAAGACAGATGCCCGAAAGTACAAATAAGACTGCAAAAACTTTGCAAATAAGTAGGAACAGCTTCTCTGCCTGCTCTAGATAGTGTGTGTGTGTGTGTGTGTGTGTGTGTGCGCGCGTGTGTGTGTGTGTGTGTGTGTGGGTGCGTGTGTGCCTGTGTGTGTGTGTAAATAAGCAATGGCTAAAATTACCCTTATTTACAACGCCACTTTGTCGGTTCATCAAATTTCGCTCTTATATATTGACCACACGTTAGATAGCGCACAATCTAACTTTTTCGTGGGTGAAATGGTTCATAGGTGAATCTCTAAACGCTTTCAAGTGCAGTAATTACTTAAACCAGCGCCTTTTTTTTACCCGAAAGGCAGAATAGAGCTGTTAAGCATGTATAACTCGCCGTGAACGCTTTATTTTTTAACGGGACACGATGGTGGCAATAGATTCATAGCCTCCTATACGCGCGCTCACTCGGGAAAAACGAGTGACGTCCTATTACCAGGCTGTGAGCAGGCCTGGTAATATTCTTATAGGAGGCATTGGACGTATTCACTTTTACTAACGCAGTGTGTTTAGCCAAAATGTTTGCGCCTCATAAACTGTCCGCGTGTGCGGTGTGCCATCGGTCAGTATACTCGGGGACAACTTTCTGTAACAATGATGGGAAGGCTACGGAGCCAAAGTGGGCTTGCGCTACCGCTGTAAAATATAGTGCCACGAGTGCGTCCGTGTTTTTCGCGTGAAAGTAATAAAAAGATTATTTATTTCTACTAGATGCTGTTTATAAAGAGACGCTGCACGCGCCGATGAGGTAACAATATTTGTTGTTGCTTTCTGAAGAGTTCTTTTGCGTTTTTGCGTGTCTAAAATCGTCGCATGTTTTACGTGCACCTCACCGTCAAAATGGCGTCTTCACCTTTAGATGAGCAAACGTCGCCCTCAGGCTATTTCGACGACTCGCTGAAGGAGCTTGTGCCGAATTTCTTCTACAAGTCGCTGTGTAAGCAGGCGTATGGAGTTGTGTGCAGTGGAATTACATGAACGTGGCCGTCATTCGAAACACAAGCCGAACCGGACTACGCAGAGGAGTACTGAAGCAGTAGCTATGACCCCGTAGCCTTCACTTCATTGCCACAGAAAGTTGTCTCCGAGTGTCGTTGAGCGGTGTAAATTAAGCTAACAGAAATAAGGCCTGAACCTTGTAGGCACATCGTCATTCGTTTTGGGTCTCGCGCTGTGCCTGCACTGCTGAACTCGCGCTGCGCAATGTCTGAACTTTGTGTGTTCATCCGTGCAGCGGTTCCGATTGGTGCAGGTGAATCGAACAGGCTTTTCAAGTTAGCAGGCTGTATAGTATGAAGGGCACTGGCGAAGAAAAAAAAATGACAGCCTGATCAACAAGCTAGGTCTGAAGAATGCCGAGTTCTACGCTCCCGAGTTACACTCGATTGAAATGGTTGTCTTTTTATTTTGTGAAGCTAGCACTGCTTTTCATTGTAACGCTGCTTCACTAATCCTCCCGTCAAGCCACAGAAGCAGGATAGAGGGAGGAGGGTGCAAGCGGCTGCCATGCCATCTCTATACAGAACGTCGCTGGTTCTGCGACGACAGCGGGATAGTTACCGGCACGTTTTGGTCACCTATGGTCCCCCATTCGCACTGTGAATTTCACGGTGTTGGTGTTCAGTGGACACGTTGGACAACGTAAGAACGAACATCTAAATGTTTTGTTTGTTCAACAAGTACGCAAAACGAGTTCAGAGTTTGATGTACATGGTAGCAAACGCTGTGGTATTACATAGAAGTGACCATTTGCTTTTTCTTTAACTACGCTTCGGTCGAACACATCGCAAATATCGGTACGTGATATAAAAGTAAAATTACGAGTCAGGATAGGATAGCAATACGATTCAGCGATGATAATTTGTCCAGTTTTCACACATACAAGTACCCAGAAGAAAGAAGGAATACTAGAATTGCTCTATATTTCCCAAATTGAGGCATTTAGCACCGAGACGAAACGGTCAACAATTATAAAAAGTCCCAGCTTTGCCGCAAAGGGGAAGCAATGAATGAGATAGCAACAATTTGGAAGGTCACGCGAAAAATAGAAAGTAGATCGAAACGTGCCCCGCATTTCTCACGCCCAAATGACGCACGAAATGTACCAACAGGTACAGATGCACGCGAATAAGCATCTCAGTTGTTACTTTGCTGTGTCTGAAAAGCGCCTTTTTTTCGCAAACGGAGACAGTGCTACAAGTATGGTGGCTAGAAGGGGGAGGTGGGAGCATCGCGCGCTGCGGAGGTTGGCGGAGAGGGTGTCAGTTGTTCATGCCGACGAGTGGTGGCACGCGTGTCGTTTTTTAGATGCCCCTCTGGGACGAAGCGGAGCACGTGCGTTTCCGCTGCTTGCGTTCGTACTGTTCGCACGATGCTCGAAGTTTTGAAGCCTCTTCACACCGCATATCGTGATGACTAAACCAGTGAAGCGCCAGACTCACTGCTTCGTGCCCGGATGCTCTACCGGGTACGTTTCAGCCCGAAAGGCAGGTGTAAAAAGGTCTGTTTTTACCGTACCGAACGATGAGGACCGGCTGAAAGCATGGCAGCGGTACATTCCACGTGGTGACAAACTGCTCGACCGAACTGCAGTCCTGTGCGAGTTACACTTAGAGCAACGGTTTATTGTGAGAGATTACACCCACATCGTGAATGGTGAAGTTGTGAAGATTCCTCGTGGCCGCCCATGCCTTACCGACGATGCAATACCGTCGATCTTCCCAAACACGCCGAGTTATCTCTCTAAAAAGCTTCCTCAGAAGCGCAGCTCCCGGACATCGAGAGGAGAAGTGCTCGGCAAAAAAAGAAAAGTGAACGATGAAAACGAACTTCCTTCGATTGAGCACGATTCTTCTTTAGATGTGACAACGAACGTTGCACGTGTTCCCGGCGCGTCGTGTACAGTGGAAAAACTGGAGCATATGAAAGGTGAGAAGCTTCCGAGCCAATACTGGTCGATGTGCCTACTTGCGGATGCCCCGAAGCTGTTGCAATTACTGTTTGTGCTCAAGATGGTGATAGTGTGTGCTTCAAGAAACTGGTGTTGTGCTTTGCTGAGGATACTTGCTATCATTGTGTAGTGTTTGTGCAAGGGAAAATTGTAAAAAAAGTGGACGTGTTTGATGTGAATGCTGTGGAAAGCCTCCTCCACTCCATCAACGAGATGGTTGTGTGCTCCGGTTTTGAGCAAGGTGCTATTCCACTGGAGCGGCTTAACAGTTCCAATCAACCAAAATACAGAACGCATGGAAACAAGTTGTACAGCAAAAGTTGCTCAGGCATGTCTCAAGATCAAAGGCCTTGTATACACTGCAGGTATCTAAGGAAACTGCTTTTGAACCAAGCATCCTATAAGAAGAGAAAAGCTAGAGTGGCTACTGGTTACCGTGCTTCGAAGAAACTACTTATGCGGGGAAGACAGTTGAGGCGAGAAAAGGCAAAAGTCAGTGAACTAAAGCAAATGCTTGCGAAAATGAAGCAAAGTAATTCTGCCCTCTCTGAATCAAACCTTCAGGAGAGTCTGTCTAAACTGCCTGAGAAACAGCGGCAGCAGGTACAAACATGCTTTGAAGCAGCGAAAAGGAAAGGAACACAGGGGATGAAGTACAGCGATGAATGGCTTCTGGACTGCATTATAATGCGCATGAAAAGCCCAAAGCTGTATGAGCATATTCGAAAGCATAAAATAATGGTCTTGCCCAGCAAGAGTTGTTTGAACAAGTACGTGAGAAATTATAAGAGCAACTTTGGGCTGAATGATAATGTTTTTGCTGCCATCGAAGAAAAAACCAAAAGTATAGATGAGTTTCACAGGCACGGAGGTCTCTTAATTGACGAGCTGAAGCTCTCGGAGAGCCTCAAAGTGACAAGCAGTGGACTCATCGAATGTTTCGTTGACTTGGGCAAATACACTTCTCTAGATCAAAGCACACAAACGTGTGATCACGGTCTAGTAGTATTGTACCAGCCATTTTCAGGCAACTTTCAGCAAATCTTAGGGGTTTTCGGCTCCCATGGAAATGTCAAGGCAGATGTGCTTGCAAAAATCATTGTCAATGCAACACTAACTGCCGAGAAGTTTGGGCTTTTTGTGGATTTTGTGACCACAGATGGTGCATCCTGGAACAGGAGTATGTGGCGACAATGTGGCATCAAGGGTTCTTCAAAGTCAGTTGTTTTCAAAATGAAGCACCCTGCAGATCACAGCAGAAGTCTGCACTTCTTATCAGACTTTCCGCATCTTGTGAAGTGCGCCCGCAACAGCTTTGTGTCGACGGGTCTCCAGGTGCCCGAAGGAAGGGTCAGGATAGATTTATTTATTATTTACAAATACTGCTGGCCAGAGGCCAAAGCAGGAGGGGCAAGATAATACAGTTGTCATACATATTTCAAAACAACGTCAACAATAAAGAGAGTAAAAAGTGGAAAGCGTGGCTTATTTATACAAAAGCAACAAAAGGAAAGAGTGGGGAGAGAAAAGAGGAAATAGTTGGAATAGTTAAAAAAACAACTTCAAATTTCAGCGTAAATAAGATCGGGAGAGTGTAAACTGCTTGCAGGCAAATCGTTCCACTCTTCAATGGTATGAGGAAAGAAGGAAAATTTGAACAAGTTAGTACGAGCAAAATATGGTGTTAAAGAAAGTGCGTGTGAATGCCGAGTCTGGCGTGTTCTTAGTGGTGTGAGGTAGGGGTCAGGGTTTAGAGCAAATTTGCGGTTAGAAAGTTGGTACAAAAATTTGAGACGTAAGAATCTGCGTCTCGACTGCAAAGATGAGGTACCATTTGAAAGCATTACACTAGTTACAGAACTACCAGGCTTGTAAAGAGAATAAATGAAACGAACTGCCCTCCGCTGAATTTTTTCTAGTGCATCAATGTTAGTTTTAGTATAAGAATCCCAGGCAACGCATGCATATTCTAATTTAGGGAGAATCAAGGATTGGTAAGCTAAAAATTTCACTTTCGTAGTAGCATCCTTAAGTTTGTGCCTTAGCATGCATAATTTGCGGAAAGCTGCGGAAGAAACTTGTTTAATGTGGGAATTCCAACTTGAATTATTCGTTAGAGTGACACCAAGATACTTGTATTCCTTAACTTCTTTAAGAGGTTGGTTAGAGAGCATGTAGTCAGTTAGTACTGGCTTTTTCTTGTTAGTGACACGGAGCAGAACTGATTTATCCATGTTTAGTTTAATCCCCCATAGATTGCACAATAGACATATATTGTTTAGAGTGGACTGGAGAGCTGCTTGGTCATTAGAACTAGTTATCGAGTTAAACAGAATACAATCATCTGCAAAAAGTCGAACGTTAACAGGTGGGTTTACACAATTTACTACATCATTACAGTATATAAAAAATAGTAGGGGACCGAGTACACTGCCCCGTGGGACACCTGAAGTAATCAGCAGAAGAATTGAGCTCTGATTATTAATGAAGACAAACTGGGAGCGATCAGACAGGTAGTAACAAATCCAGGCTGATAGAAAATTTGGAAGTCCGATAAGCTGTAATTTAACCATAAGTTTATCATGGGGGATGCAGTCGAAAGCTTTGCAGAAATCTAGGAATATGACGTCTACTTGGCCGCCCTTATCAATCACAGATGCAAGAGAATGAATGACTGTACATAACTGAGTTGTTGTCGACAAGCCCTTTCGAAAACCATGCTGATACGGAGATAAAAAGTTATTCTCATCTAGGTGTTTTGATATGAATGTTGTGACAATGTGTTTTAACATTTTGTTACAAGACGATATAATTGACATTGGCCGATAATTGAAGACAAGAAGAGGGTCTCCCTTTTTGGGAATAGGCTTGACACGAGCCATTTTCAATTCTTTAGGTAACGTTGCAGTACGGATTGAAGCTTCAAAAATTGTAACAAGGTATTTGGACAAGGGCTCGGCATACCGTCAAAAAAATTCGTTCGGTATTCCTTCTGGCCCACCGAAGGATTTTACTTTTATTCGAAGAACCATGTTTAAAAAACGTTCATATGAAATTAAATTTCCTGGTGGAGTATCTGCGGAATCATGTACAAAAGCCACAGGCTGAGAAGACTGACAGAAAGCACTATGAAAAAAAAAGAGTTAAAATGATCAGCAATCGCTTTGCATCCGATACCAGAGAACCGTTCACAGAAATTTGTTCTACGTTCTTTTTGCGATCGCTAATATAGGCCCAAAACTTCTGCGGGTCATCTTTAATAAAATTAGCCAGTGTGGTATTGAAATAAAAGCTTTTCTCGCGTTGAATCGCTTCGTGTAAAGCAGACCGGACTTCACCTAGGCGCTGGGGAGCTGCCCTCTTTTTCCTGAGACGTTCAGCCTTTCGTTTTAGATGCAGTATAGGTCTCGTGACCCACGGAGTGAACTTAGCGCGTTTTTTTAGCTTATTGAGAATGAATTTATCTAAACAAAACGTACAAATGTTCTTGAATTTCTCCCAAAGGTGTTCCACATTGTCACCACAAAACTCAGCTACGCGATCATCCAAAAACTCAAAAATACGCGAGTCTTGAGCGTGCGCAAAGTTTTTAACAGCTTTTGTGGTATTCACATCCCCAGAACGGTTTATATTCAAGGGGAACGAAACACTAATCAAACTGTGGTCCGATATGCCAGAGATTAGGGACACGTCGCACTGAGCAATTGATCGGTGTAAAAATACCAAATCAAGCAATGAAGATGTAGACTCTGTAACACGCGTGGGTTCAGCCACAACTTGCACAAGATTGTGGTCAATCATAATATCAAACATACAAAAAATATTGACAGAGTCAGAGCCTGCTTCTAATCTTTCCCAGTCAATACCTGGAAGATTGAAGTCTCCTGCCAATATTATTTTTCTCTCGTTGAATTGTAGCATGTGCGCATGCAGCTTTGTCAGATAATCGCTTGTTGCACCAGGAGCCCGGTAGGCTGCGTACAACACGAAATTCTGGCAGCCAAGTGTCACATTTAAACACAAGCACTCGAGATCGGGCACATCAGATAGCAACGTAGCTTTTATGCAGTCTTTCATAATAACTGCCACACCACCCCGCCTAGTTGCCCTGTCCTTCCGGAAAATTTTGAAACCCGGCGGCACCACATCATCATCACTGACGAAAGTATGAAGCCACGTCTCGGTAAGGACTACTAGGTGAGGATCATGGGCCAGACGTATAGCTTCAAGATGCTCAGTTTTGTTTGTAATACTACGAGCGTTTATATTTAGTAGTTCTACACGTTGGTTGTTCATGTGTCATGCGCTTCCATTATCACTACCTTCATGAGCATTGCTCAGAACACCTTCTGCATTCACTGGATGGGTATGCCGTTTCTTTTGAGTGATTTTTTTACGTTCGTTCGCCGTTTCGTTCCAAACAAAAACTTCTTTGTCAACATGCAGTTTATCGTGAACTAGATAAACATTTTTTCCTTGGGATTTTTCATCTTTTGCACTGTCCAAAAGCAGTTTTCTTTTTTTTAAGGTTTGCTTGGAATAGTCGTTTTGAACGAATATTTTAGATCCCTTGAGTTTTTTTCCATTCTTTAGTACATCAGATTTTTCGTTGAAATCTTGGAAGAACAAGATGACGGGTCTTTTCGTACCAGGTTTTCCAATTCTATGAATACGCCCTACCGATTTGCACGTGACACTAAGCTTATCTTTAAACGTCGCGTCAATTACTTTCTGCTTTAATTCTGCTTCAGTCTCTTTGGGGCTTTCAGAGATACCAAAAACCACTAAATTCGAGCGCCTACTTCTATCCTCAAGGTCCGTAAGTTTATACGTCTGAAAGCTAACTGATTTTTGGTATGTTGAAAGAAAATTGTCAAGAACGTATAGTTTGAATGATTTGGTCTTAAGTTCAGAGATATGTTTTCAATACCATCGAACCGCTGCTTGATATCCACAAACATGCCCTTAAGGCCACAGATTTCATTGCGCAATTCGTTTTGACCTTCTAAAACCTTATGAAGTAATTCTTCGACAGTAGGTCCGGGATTAGATTCAATGTCACCACACAATAACAACCGCATGGCACAAAAGCATTCGTAAGCAATCACAGAGCACTGGTTGGGGCACGGCAGGACTATAAGAAAGCGCGAATCGTTCTTAAAGAAACCAAAACAAGGACCAACCTGCACAAGGCAGAACAACGACTTGGTTAGCGACATGCCACTGCCATGCCCGCCGTGCCCAATGGAGTTGACGTTCAGGAGGGGTTCATATATAGGCGTTGTATCTGCTGACGTCACGGTTTGGACAGTGATAGCTGAGGAAGGACGAAGGGTGATGTCGCTTGTTGTTGCATCATTTTGCAGCAAATGCGTTGCCGCATAAGCTGGTTGTTGAAACGTCGGCGAGGTCGCGTTTGGAAAGTAGCAGCACTGCATAGCCAATCCTGCGCAGAAGAGCCCCTGCACAAGGCAGAAGAACGGCTTGGTTAGCGACATGCCGCTGCCATGCCCGCCGTGCCCAATGATGTTGTGAAAGAGGCATGGAAGTGTGACAATAAAAACATTGTGCGGCTTAAAGCAATGCCTCGTGTCACAAGAGTCGTCATCGATCCGAACGGATTTGAAAAAATGAAAGTGAACTATGCCTTCACTTTTTTCAGTGATGAGATGGTGAGGGGTTTGTATGCATATAAGGAAGAGATCGAGAGAGTATGGGGCGTTGGCTCTAGTGATGCAACAGTGTCATTTATCAGAAGAATGGCTAGGCTGATTGCAGCCATGACTTCCCGCTGCAGCCGTGGTGCCATGCGTCCCAACTCGCCAGTCCTGGCTGAAGTGGAGGAATTTATTGCATATCTAGATGCGTGGGAAGGAAACGTTGGAAAGCTGGGCTTTTTCAGCCAGGGTACTGCAGAAGGGCTTCGCGTTACTCTGAAAAGCACCATGTCGATTTTCGAATATCTCACAAAAGAGCTTGGTTACAAGTACTTGCTGACATCCAGACTAAGCCAGGATCCTCTGGAGAGTGTGTTCGAAATCTTGCGGCAAATGTCGGGAAGCAACGACCACCCGACGCCAACCCAGTTTCTGCTTTCGGCAAATTGTCTGTCGTTCTGCAGCTTGGCGAAGGCACCTGCTAACGGAAATGTGTCACCGTCAGTGCTGAAGAGCCTCATACATGGCAGCCACAAAGACCGGAGAGAGTTCCAGACGAAGCTTGACGAGCTCATGGACATAGGGTGTCTCATTGAAGTACATGAAATCCTTGAATCGTCTGGCATCCCAACAGATCACTGCGCAATGGTTTCGGTAAAAAGCGACTCCCGAGTTATGCATTACGTTGCTGGATATGTCGCCGGAAGGATGCTGAGCCAAACCAAGTGCCATGAATGTGCAAAAGCTCTTATCCGACCACGCGATTCTGATATGCCCGCAGATGCCTGCCTAATCAGAAAAGTAGACCGGGGTGGGCTGCTCTACCCATCTGATGAACTGCAGGCTTTTATCGAAAACATGGAAGACTCATTCGCGCGCTGCTTTAGCTTCAGCAAGCTTGAAGCAAACAGCATAATGGACTTCATTTCTGCGTTGACAAAAAACTAGCTAACTCATCTAGGCTGCGAAAAGCATTCCAGAGATGTTACTAACAGGCTCGTCAAGTTTTATACAATGACAAGGCTGTACTTCATTGTAAAAGCGGAAAACAAAGCACGGGAGGGCAAGCGACGGCAGCGAATGCACTATTTGAAGCTTCGTCGCGTAACGTGAATATGTGTGGAGTTGCGCTTTCATGTGATTGTAATTTAGAGCTGCTTGCTGTATGAGATTGGCGATGTACAAAAATAAAGATGCAGGCTGTTAATTCCCTGAACGTTGTGCATGTATACAATTTTTATTAAAATCTCCTTGATTGAATATACGTCACTCGGTGTGTAGAAAATTCACCAGACACGAAACTCATCGAAAAAGTGAACAGCTGCGAAAACTACAATATAATAAAATCGTTAAAAGCTACGCATTGAAATGTAAAGGGAGGTACCGAACGTTGCGATTGTGAGCATATGATTATTTTACACCGACGTTTCAAATGGTATTCGAACTTATACGCACGGTCTTATCGTGGAGTACGCCGCCTTGCCTTTTGGGTGCTACCACGTATGTTTGCATGCCATTAGAGGTAGTTCGTTGCCTTAATCTCGGTATACATTCCGTGCTTAAATTTTCGTTTAAAACAGCCCATTGCTAGTGCGCACAGCTGCATTCTAGTTATTACATGGAGGTCGCAAGCTCTGCAAAGTGCGCATACCTTCTCGTGCAGCGCCTGGCCTGTTTGGCCGTCAAGGACGCTCGCCCCCACCGACCGATCTAAAAAGCTACAGCAGCGCCGCCGCTGCCGCCAAGATCTGTTGCTACACTCCGCAGCTAGTGATGCTCCCACCTCCCTCTTCTAGCCACCAGACTACGAGTGCAGTGACCATTGTGTGCCCGATAATCGTTCCGGTCAAAGCCCAACGCGTACTATTGTCCCCACCGCGAAATAAGCGAGCGCACGCGAGAGCGTTCCCTCTCCGCGGGGCAAAGTACATGTGGGAGACGAGAGCGCGCGCCGCCGCGCCGTGACAATCTGGTGACGCGCGCTCATTGCGCCATCTCGCTGGTAATGCTGAAAACACTATAATAGTTTTATGGCCTCCGATATGGAGGCCATGAAACTATTATTTCATGGCCTACATATCTTGACCTCCATATCTTTCATGGCCTTTTTTGCCCCACACCGAACCGCCAGTGCCAGGAGGGGCCGTCTGATCGGGAGGAATGCGTTAGTGAACGGAAACATACACAGACCGCTGACATCAGAAAGGTGAAGGGGAGAGGGGAGAGAGAGATGAAGGGGGAAGTGGAGGGAAGAGTGGAGGGGGGAAGTGGAAGGAAGAGTGGAAGGGGGGCACCCGAGGGGCGTCCACCGTATATTATTTTTCTCTTCTTCTCTTTTTTCTTCTTTTTCTTTCCTTTTTCTTTCCTTTTTATTTTTTTCTTTTATTCCTTTTTTTCTTTTCTGTCTTTTTTTCCTCTTTCCTTTCCCTCTGATTTGAGATTGTATAAAGCTGAGCACCAACAAACTGTATCTTTAGTCCTGATGAAGGCCAGACTCTAGGCCGAAATGTCGAAATAAACCACGTTGTGACCGCTCACGGAGGATCTACTAGACTATATGCAACGCAACGGCCACTCAACCACCATGCCTGCCTACACAAGACCGGCCACAGGCGCACCTCCAGTCGAGCAGGTCTCACGGAATTTCCCTAAACATGCACCAACATCAGCCATCATCGGAAACTCGCAAACAAGGTATTTACATCGGCATTTCAACCCTCATGAGAAGACGACACCTGCAATCATTTCCATCCGCAGAGCCTCCACATTCGACATCGAGAAAGAGCTTGCTGGCATACCATGATCTGTGACCAAGCTCGTTTTTCACGTCGGTACGAGCGAGCTGGCGTCGTACGGACTAGAGGAATCGTTACGCCACCTTCGCCGCCTAGTGAACAACACGCTTCGGACACGCCAGGAACTCGAAAGGCTCGTTGTTTCATGCGTGCTGCCCCGTTACCTCAACCTACACCTGGAACGATCGAACGAACAATTCATGCACTGCTTCAACCGGGACGCTCGTCAATTCAACGAGGCAGTCAAGGCCTACTGCCGAAGACCCAGCAAGGTGTCATACATTGACTACCAATTCAAGCAGTTGCCACCAAGACGCTTTCTTGCTGCGGATGGGCTTCATCCGAGTTTTATGGGTGTCGCTTTGATTGCCGAAACCCTCAAGAAAGCACTCGGTCGTGGAGATTTCGAAGCTACCACGGGGTGGTCGACTCAACCAGCAGCTCCCGTGAATATACGTTCAACACAACAAGACACCCACGAGAAGACTTCTGCATATCAACATACACCAGGAGCCCCACACCCACCCAACATCACAGATGAGTTCCCGACGATCAGGTAAACTGTGACTCCCGTGAGCCACAAGCACCCCCTCACCACCATCAACAGCGCACCACTACTAGGGGGGAAGTCTGCAGAACAACCAACACGCGTCCCTCCATTGCGGATGTCGAGACCAAAAGCACTACACGACAGCACCACTACACCACTCCTCAAAGAGAAGCCTGCCGAACTACGAAACCGCGTCCCCCTATGCCACTTTGGAAAGTCAAGTATATATATATATATATATATATATATATATATATATATATATATATATATATATATATATATATATATATATATATATATATATATATATATATATATATATATATATATATATATATATATATACTGTGCATGACGACGACGCTGACCCCCACGTCAACGCCGGCGCCAATATCCAGGCAAGAGTGTTCATATAATTGCTATCGCAATAAAACTTAATGCAGCCACAGACGAATTGATACCCCCTTACTATTACTTACCGGGAAAATGCAGCAGTGGCCATGCTTTTTTTTCTTCCAAATTGTACCAAAATGCATGCCGTAACAGAAAAGAATACTTTCCATCGGTTTCAACAGAAGATCCTGGTGGCGGTGATTTTTGCTCGTAGGCGAAAAAAACAACAACCATGCGCATGCTGAAATCACATGCGCTCTGCCGTATGTCATAGTTTCAGCAGGCGCCTTAACTTAACTATCAATCAAGCAGGGCCTTAACTCTCAATGAATGCGCCCTTTCGCGGTAGCCAGGCACGCGAGGCGATACTCGTTGGTTTTGCTGGTACAGTGTACTAGAAGGGGAAGTGTGCCGTGCGGCACCGGAAAGAGGGTCCGTCTAGCGATGACTGCTCCGTGCGCCACTAGAGGGCGCTGCTGGCTAAAGGAGTGCTACGCTCACTGTCGTGATGGCTCTGTGAGTGGCATGTGTGGCCAATTTGTGTATTGTTCCGAGTTGTCGTCACAGCTTTTTATGCGGTGAATGCCACTTAATGGTGAAATTCAGCCCTTCCGCATAGGCACTAGCGGTTCTTTAGCTATAACGAGCGTACACAAAAACACCCACTACAATTCGGTGAGGTCATTTACACCAGCCGAAACCTTTTCTTTTTGAGGTTACTGAATTTTATAGAGAAGTGATGTACTTTCAAATAGTATTGAGTGGATTTCAACGTATTAACTTATAGAGCCTAAATATCAATTTTTTGCATACAAGTGTCTGTGTTAGGTCCTGTTTGTTTTGTATCTTTTATATTGCTTCGCATACTAAACTGTCGGGAAGCGTCAATTGAAGGCCTCTTAATCTTATAGCTTTTGCTTTTTCAGATAACTAACTTTTTGCTTTTATTCGACTCAAGCTAATTTTTGCGCTGCTAAGCTTGGCTTTTGTTCTCCGAAGGGCACATCGTATATTGCGAGGACTTTGTTTCGTTAAAATCTTCTGACATCGTCTCCTGAAAAGCTGGATGAGTATCAGATTTCTCTGATATTTGCAGTGAACACAAGCACTGAGATCGTTTACTAGAAGCGTGCAGTTCTTCGAAGAGAACACCTCATTACACGATGGGCATTTACCAGCTAAAGGCTCCATTCCCATGCCGGGACACAAAGTCAGTTTGCTCACATTGTTTATCAGCAACTCTGCCTCGTCTCGTGGTACGAGTTTCTCTTGGTGCCTTTTTTTATTTTATGAGAATTTCGGCGGTTGCAGCACTTTGAGCAGCTTGCTTCTTAACCTGAATGAGTTTTTTTTCAATGCTACCTTGCTAGGTTCAACAGCGTCCGCTTCCAACTCGGCAAAAAGAAATGAGTTCCCGACACGCGGCAGGAAAGTTTCCGACCACTCATTTGGAATTCTGAGCTTTGAAAAAGACGGCTCTTGAAATTCGTGGTCACGAGCTTTATCAGCGGCATCGTCTCGGCCAACATCATTCGACATTCTTTGGCATTCCTGTTCAGGAACATCATCGACTGAACTGCGTTAATCAACGTCGTTCGATTCAACTTCTGAGAAAGTGTTGTTCTCACGTCTTCGCTTCGGATTAGGGAGAATGTGATCGCTAATGTTGCGATCCGGCTGTTTTTTCGGCAGCGATTTTTAAAGGCTCTTGGGAGCATCAGAGAAAATTGTAGGAATGGCATCTTTTGATAAGAGTGGCAAGTGTCTGGGGATCTCAATAACCCTACCCTCGATAGTCGTCTTGAAAGTTCATTGTATGAACCTTGCTTTGAAGCGTCCCTCACGAACAGCGCTGCTGTTGTCAAGGACTTGGTGTACCGCGACCATTCCTCCCGGCGGTCAACTTCAAACGGCAAACGAAATAAGGAGTACGCCTCTTTACACGAGTGGTAGCCGTTGTTGCAATTTCGCACAAAGCAAAAGCCGTCTCGCTTGTTGCGCCGTCTCCCAGCCATTTTTTTTTTCATTCAAGTAGACAAGCGCAAACACAACCGTAATTTTTTCACTCACGTATAACACAATCTGGCGAGGAGCAGAGTTATTCAATGCGAGAAATACCGGCAATGAGGAACTGGTCATGCGTTAAGAGCCAAACTGACAGTATAGCATGTGTTGACACACGTACTCCTCTGGCTCGTAGCATCCCCTAGCACCCTCAACCTGCTTCACCGCTGTGGGGGCGCCCTCGCCTTCACTGGAACGCGCTGCGCACGGCACACTTCTCCTTCTAGACTCTAGTATACTGCATTGTTGTGGAGTGCGGCTATTCAGACGGCCGGAGAGAAAGACGCCGCGCGCCCGCCATCTCGGAGGCCATGGGGAGAGGCAGTGAGAGCAGAGAGATAACACCTGCCGGCACGCGTACAACGTCGGATGCCTGACATAGCCCGACGAAGAAATGCATTCGCATTTTAAAAAAGCAGATGGGGATCTAAATTGTATGAGCCGCAGGTCGAGCCTCAAATAGTCCACAGTCTGCGTGCCCTGCCACGTCAATGCCCTGTGCCGAGCATTTGGCTTTCCCTGTGCCGAGCATTTGGCCGGAAGTACGCTTGTGCTGTACTGTTAGATATCTGGCGGCAGCAATTCAATGCCTCCTACAGCAGCGGTGTATGCCACAAGGACATCAGGCCAAAACGTGCGGCGTGTGTACTGATAGGCTTTAGTTGCTAATTTTGTTGGCAATTATTCAGAGATGTTGATCAGAGTGCCCATGCCACTGGTATTCTCACGGTCCTGTGTTCTGCCTTTACGCCCTTTGAAAAAATTACTCTTTAATCTGCCATTGCATAAAAGGATGGTATTCTGAAAAGACTGTTGATGAATCTAATATTATTTTGCTTTTCACGATATATTGTTTCTTAGGATAAATATCCCTTTTAGGCTCATTTATATTGCTAGCCACAACAGAGCATACGATGGCCTAATAAGATAAACAACTAAGTCATTGAACCATGGCACTCGTACCTCCAGGCTGAGGGTGTTGTTATTGCCCAAGATTTCGCAGTTCATGCCACCCCCATAGTTTCTTTCGTGTGACCTTAGGCCTTTCACGCTGTTTTCATCTTTCTGTGTCTCCACTATCGGAAATCGCTATGGGCGCGCCATGAGCGCGGAAATGACAACTAGCACTGGCGTTTTTGCAGTGCAAGACGAAATGCTTCAATCTACGCATTTATTGTTGCGGTAGGGGCAGATGAATGAGGGAGAACGCGTGCCTGAGCACACCCTGGCGAGCCTCCATCTCGATGAAGCGCCTTAGTATGGCTGATGCCCCCAGGTTGAGCTCTTTCTTGAAGACGGCCTCAGGTATTCCAGGCAGAGGTGTCAACGTCCCCATGGTCAGAACATCCAGTGACAGTTGTTCCAGTGACAGATCCAGATGAACAGCGTATCCTGACAGTACATAAACCACCAATGAAGTGCAGTTGTCATCAACGTTTTTCGCGAGTCACACTTCTCTACTCACAAAAATCCTTCACGCACTTCTTTAAAATGTTGAAAGGCTCAGTTTCACACATATTGTAGAACTTTTGCACATACTTTTGCTTGTGTTCACCAAAATAATACAAAATGTCGATCAGTTATTCTACTCACTAAACAAAGGCACTACAATTAGAGAGTGAGAGTGACAACAAATGGCGCTAAAACTATATATAAGAAGAGTGAAATATGTTAAGTCATGCAGATAGTTTTTCTTAATGCTGTCGAGTCCCTGGCAGCTTATTATGACGCAAGAAGTGCTCACTAACGTCGGTGAAAATTATTTAATGCAAGTATTTGATCTCATCTGTGTCTCCAAGCTCATCTGTAGCGATTACAACTAGAGTTCGTAATCTAAAACAAACGTATTGCTGAAATGATAAACGGCCAGCATGAATAATTACAAGGCTACAATAGGGATAAAGAATGAAAAATACAGACGACACCGTCGCATAACACCCGTAAGGTTATGTTGCCCAACAGTGAATATTGAGTGCACAGGACATTGCATGCTTATTTGATTCTTAAACACACACACATACACACACACACACACACACACACACACACACACACACACACACACACACACACACGCACACGCACACGCACACGCACACGCACACGCACACGCACACGCACACGCACACGCACACACACGCACACGCACACGCACACGCACACACACACACACACACACACACTTAGTTTTGCCTCGGAGGCAAAATTGAGAGACTGTATGTATAGTTCACTATGATACTGGAGCACACAGCGCAAGAAGATCGCGTGCAGCGGATACCTTTCTTTCTCTCAGTTGGAGCGATCCGAGCTGACGAGTTCCGGACAATAAGTATAAGGGTGACGTTCTCAACGATGGTGGAGTTGCTGTCCTCCAGTGTACCATCAAGCAGGAGCAGCATACCATCGAGTTTTGCGTGGCAAGTTGTGGTGATATTCTCATTGCGCCATTGAGCAGCTTGGCAGTCTCCTTGGCGTTGCCAGTGCTTTCCTGATGATAATACACAAGTACGTAAGAATATAATAAACAATATGATCTCTCCTAAATATCTACAAAAGATCTCATATAGCTTATCACAACCGGTAGTCAACGAAAATTCAGGGACCGGCCCGCAATAAATCGCCGTGACTAAATTACGTGCTAGAGGCAGTGACTACTCAGACATTCGAGCTGTTTTCGCAACAGGTATTTACTGTTGGTGTGGTTACATCAGCATTCAATACACCCAGTCGTGTTATTAATGAGCTGAATACTTTTCTTTTAACCTTGTCTCTAATAAGCGAATAAGGAAGTCAAAAATACAGCGTTAAAATATAATCATCAATATAATTGACATCATCATAATCATCATCAGCCTGCTGTGGCAGGGCAAAGGTCTCTCGCATAAGCTTCGCCAATTAATCCGGTCCTTTGCATGCTGCGTCTACGCATCCGCGCAAACTTTCTTTCTAACGTGCACGTTTGCCTTCCCTTGTATTCCACACTGCTGATCTTAATGAGTAGCAGTTATCTTGCGTCTACGCTAGATGACATGTGCGAACCCATTTCTTCTTAAGTTGAACTAAGATGTCCTTGGCATCCGTTTGTTACTTTAACCATTCTGCTTTCTTTTTGTCCCTGGATAATACTCCTATTGTTTTTCTTTCTATGGCTCACTGCGTCATCCTCAATTTAAATTTAACCTTCATTGTAAGCTTCCACGCCTCTGCTCCGTGGGCAAGTACCGGTAAGACGCTGCTGTTGTAAACTTTTCTCTTGAGGTAGAGTAATAAGCTGCCATTCACGACTTGTGACTGCCTGCCAAATTCTCTGCGGGTAATTCCCATTCTTCTCGTTATTTCAGCCTCATGGTTCGGCTCCACGGTCACTACTTGTCCTAAGGATGCGTGTTCTTTTACCACTTTCAGCGCCTCGATAGTCATGGTCGAAAAGCGCTGTTCTCCTCCGAGACTTTTGAGCATTACTTTAGTTTTCTGCATATTAGTTTTCAGACCTACCGTCCTACTTTTTTGGTCCAATTTAGTAATCATAATTTGCAATTGTTTGCTTAGTTATTCATCAAGGCAATGTCATCATCGAATCGCATGCATGTTACGGACGTACTCTACATTAAGCGTTCCCAGTTTAGGCCCCTGAAAACCTGTAAAGCACGCGCCGCATAGCATTCTGAAGATCGTGTCTCCGTGCTTTACACCCTTCGTGTGAAAATACATTGCGCAAAAAAAAAAAACTGCTAGAGGATTCAGTATCTTAGTATTGCGCACAAATCTAGAAGGGTTACTTGAGGAGACAGGTGTAATAAGCGCCTGTTATCCTTTCTAAAGTCAGAACTTGCCGAAGCCGACGAGAATGCCGCTGTCGAAAGTCAAGTTCAGCGCTCCCGTGCCATCGCTGTGGTTCACAGTGAATCCTGGAAGCAGGATCGTGGTCATTTTGGCCTCGTTCACTTGCAGCGGAAGTATCACACCTAGTATCGTGTCCAGGTAGTTGTTGGCCTCGTAAATAGCCCCCGCCAAGCCATATGCTTGACCTGCGTGCACCAGGATTATAAAAGAATGTGTAGGAAGAAAATACAAATTGTGATGTGTGGTGTGTACTGCGTCTATAGGATGAAGGGATTTGGCGAGCGTTTCATGCGGGTAGCATAAAGTATAGTATAAAATTCAATGACAGTAAACAATTATATATTCGAATTTTACTCTCATTCTACTATCATTTACAATCTACAATACTCTACTATCCACTATCCTTACTATCATAGTAAACATTATCGAGATATTAGCTGGACATAAATAAGCGTAATTAGAGGGTCATTTCATGCCAAAACGTACCAATCGTGTCGGTGGGCCACCTAAAATGTATTATAAGCAAAAAAAAAAAAACGGTGGATTGATTGCGCTGAAGGCATTCAGTAACTATAAAAAATTTCGGAGAAAAACATTTTAGGTTATGTGGGACTCATCCAAATTCCGCGGACTGTCGTCTGAGTGTTGTTTGTCAAAACAATAAATAATATGAGAGCACGTTGCTAGTTTCAATACCAACTATGGTTTGGATATTAGGCAAAGGCGTTTGCATAGGGCCTTAGAAGCTGCTATTTCATTGCAAATTTTATGTCATATATGCCCAACAAAACTTCGAAATTGTTCTACGTTCGCATTTATTCAATTTTTTTCACACTGCGTATCAATATCTCTATTGTACATACTTGACCCACAGAGGATATATTATGCGTTAAAACAATTTTCAGACCGTTCTAATCTCTAAATATCACAACAAAGGGTTTCAAATATGAGGAAATAGTCATTTTGGTCCACGTTGCGGCGCGATTTACACTACGGGGTGCTTCATGTTAAAATCAGCTCAGGGCATCAATCAAACGCAAGTAAATAATTGTTATATGACATTTCTTATGATTAAAAGTTTTGTTTAAGGAAGAAAAAAAATGGCAGATCTGTTGTACAGTGGGAATCGATGATATGCGAAGCACGAATGAGGAAGGTTGATATGTCAGTTTAAAATCAGTACAACGTGACGAGACGAACGCAAAACCGTATATGACTTAAAATCAAGAGTATAATGTTTAGAAATGTAATTTACTTTCATCGTCTATTCACGTCACGTGATACCAAATTTGGTATACGTAGAGCTAGCGAAACGACCGTGAAAGTGCTATGAGCGCAGCAAGTAGTCATTTTTTACGTGGCATGCATGTCATGATTTTAATGTTTGGACGTGTCGTTTACCTTCGCCATATATTCACGTCACGTAATAATAAATTTGCTATATGTTAAGCTAGCTAAACGACCGCGAGCGAGCTATGAGTGTAGCATGTAGGCATGTTTTCCACGAACACGCACGCCATGATTATGATGTTTGGACGTGTCATTTACCTTCGTCGTCCATTCACATCATGTACTACCAAATTGGGTATATGTAAAGCTAGTGAAACGGCCACCAGCGCGTCATGAACGTGGTATGTAGTCATGTTCTTACATGGCACGCATGTCAAGGTTATCATATTTGCACCAGTCATATACCTCAGTCATCCATTCACCTCACGTAACACAAAATTTGGCATATGTGAGGCTAGTGAAACAACCGTGAGCCTACTATGAGTCTATAGCATATAAGCATGTTTTACATGAACACGCACGCCATGATTATTATGTTTGGACGTGTAATTTACTTGCGTCACCAATTCTCGTCGCGTAATGCCAAATTTGGTATACGTGAAGCTAGCCAAATGACCTCGAGCGCACCATGAGTGTTGCGTATAGTCATGATTTTCATCGCATGGATGTCATGATTTTCACTTTAGGGTCTGTCACTTATGTTCGCCATGCAGTCATTTTATACCATACCAGCTTTGCAACATGTCATGTGAACAAAACCACCGCAAGAGTGGCACGACCATGAAATGTAAATCATGACATTCCTGACATAAATATCGTGATTTTCACGTTATGACCAGTCACTTATGTTCGTCATACAGTCATGTTATGCCATATCAATTTTGGTATCGATACCATTATCGATACGGTCAGGAGAGCTTGGTCAAAATATTTGTGCGGGCAGGCCTTTTCTGTTATTCATGCCGTTTCAGTGTAAAGTTCTATCTGCGCGGTCCTTCGACTTGGTGCCCTGCATGCCTATTTCGTAAGCCGTTTTTAGGAGCCTATTTTTTTTATTTCTCGCTTTGCTTTGTACCTTAGCTATCGTAATGGAGCTCTAGTGAATGGGTGAATATTATATTGGCCATTTATTTGCCCAGCTTAGCCCTTTCCTATGGCTTTTGTATACCCATGATATATGGTCGCGATTTGTATTTTTACGGAAATGTCATTGCACCTGTTACTGTCAAACCCAGTGGTTAATAATACCCAGATTTTAAATTGTGTGAAAGTGATGTAAAAAAGCTTACTTAAAAAGCGTATGGAATACTAAATATAACAGCACTTCAATATGAGCTTCTTTAAATCAAAAGCTATGCTTCATTATCGAGATGGAATGGCAGGCACACTTGGCCTTGTTGCAGTTACTGGAATCAAAGCCTTAGTCAGTCAGCAAGATTGAAAAATAAACAATAGGTAAAGCGTCGCACAGAGCAGGCTTACCAAGAACGGACGCCACCAAAATGCAGGCAAGCATGATCATGCTCATGCTGAGTAGCGAAGAGGAGCAAAAGTTCTGCGTCTACTAGCCACTTATGTGCCTTCTTCAATGCCGGTGATTTATGTGCCGTGCTTCCCAACACGTGTCAGCGCTCAGGAGAGACACGGCTTATCTCTTGAGAAGTGGACCATATTTCTGTCTATCATATCTATAACGACTACATCCGCCATAGGTGGGCAGGATGCATGGGGTTGTATAATCCTGGGAAAAACCCGATGTGAATATCAGTAAAAAAGTAACCATATCATTTCATCTTAGAGGTAATTGATAGCCGTGCGAAGAGATAGGACGATGGAAATACAACAGGTGATACGCGCATGTGCCGTTTGTCAGAAAAGATTGCAATCGTAGGACACAAGTTCAGGTTTTCGAATTCAAGTTTTATTCACCAACGATGTCAGTTTGCAGAAAAGTTAGTACAGGATTGGTAATGCACACAAGTAGCCCCAAAGTTAGAAACTGTCAGAGGGGCTCCCATGCACGATGTTAACGGGATAATAAACAAAATATACAACATTCAATTGTTACGCTATCTTCAGTAAGAGAAAAAAGCACAGTGCGAAAAAACGAAAGTAGAAAATACATATATGTTTAGCGAGGCAAAAAAGAAAACTCTGAAGAACAAACAAGTGCAAGTTATAATACAAAACGTAATGACAATATAACATGTAGCGATTGTTATCGCTAAATTAAAAAGCAGTTGCTAAGATGAAGACAACTGTTGCAAAAAATATTTCTTTACTTGGTTTTTGAATGCATGTTCTGCGTTTGATCATTTTATTACGTAAAGAAGGAAATTGCACAGCTTAATTTTCGTAAATGTGGTAGTAAACTTGCCGTAGTTTGTGCGAACTTTAGGCAGAAGGCGGTTATCGAGCTCAGAAAACCTAGTAATATTATTCTTTTCAAGGCTTTCCACGACAATGCCATCTATATGCACATTACCGCGAAAAAGCCTATACATCACAATTGATAACTTCAGCTGAAGGAGGTGATAAAGAGGATGTATATTTAAATTATGATAAAGTGACGTTGCATTGGTTAAGAAATGGCTGAAAGTCATGAATCGAAGTGATTGATTCTGTAGGTGTTGTAGTTTGTTGAGGTGGGTCAAATATCTGTTACCTCAGGCTGATATACAATAAGATAATTGGCTGTGAATATGTGCGTGATAAAGGGAGTGGATTATGTGTGGCTGAAAATATGAACGAGTTTTGATTGTGGCGCGTATTCCAAAGGTCATTTTGCGAATGAGTGATTGCGCATGAAGATTGAATTTCATATGCCGGTCAAGAACTACACCGAGAAACGTTGTACTGTGGGACATGGGAATTAAATTATCGTCCAGACGCACTGATATAGATTTTGAAAGTACAGTCGGGAAGGAATCAAAAATTACAAAAACTGTTTTTGATGGATTAATTTTTAGCATGTTCATTCAACACCAGGAACTTATATTATGTATATCAATATTAATGTTTCGTTTTAGCTCATCGACATTATTAGCATAAGTAAAAAATTGTCGTGTCATCTGCATATAAGATACAGTCTGTAGCGGTCAAAACATTAAGTAGATCATTAATAAATAGCAAAAAGAGCAGCGGGCCAAGGATCAAGCCCTGAGGAACACCTTGATTTGCTTTCTTAGCTGCTGAAACTTTACCGTTAATCTGAGCAACTTGAGTGCGAATGCACAGATAACTAGATATAAATTGAAGTGCATGGACAGTTATGTGATACGATTCAAGTTTATATATAAGAATTTTGTGATTAATTGTGCCAAAAGCTTTCGTTAAATCTATGGATACGCCACCAACTACGAAGCCTTGGTCGATTGCCCCTTTTATTTTATCGGTGAGGGTTAGAAGCACAAGCTCAGTGGGATAGCCAGGCCGAAAGCCGTTCTGTTTAGATGTGAACAAATGAAACTTTGTCAGGTAAGATATTAAAGGAGCACTGACATCATATTTACTCATGCCAAGATTTTTGCATCAGCGAGTAGCTATGGACCCCGTAGCAATGATTCGCGACCTAAAACGCAACTGAGGCATGAATAATTATCTCTTTTACTGATTTATATTGCTGGGATGTAGAACTATTCAAAAATAGCCGGCAATCCCGCCATTTTTAGCGATTGGAGCACCAGCAGGGGCGCTACCTCGCGGTAACCTCCAGATCACGCCACAGCTGACCACTTCTCCACAGAAAAGAGTGACGTCAGGCTCAGCTGCTTCACAACCATTTCGTCTGCTAGGCGGACACATTCAGTCATGCCTTGTCTCCTGCATTGCTGTCGTCGCCGTACAAAGTGTCGACTCGGGTTCAATACGATAGTCTGGAGCTTGGAATCCCCATGATTCGCGACGTCGCGAATTATGTTTGCTTCGATTGACCTCTTGCACAACAGTGATTTCGCAATGGATGCCGTTCCAAGCAGCACTGAAGAGGTGTCTCAGTTAGCTATTTTGGCGTGTTTTGGCATGCAAATCATTCAGGTATACCCAGAAGGGTCAATGCAATATAGCTATCGCGAATGAGCATCAGCGGAGAAATAGCAAACATTTCCTGCTTGTCAGGTTCTTTTTTGCGCCTCCAGATGGCCCCACCTTTCCCGCCTCTCGCTGTGAACACGGTATTACCACTTTTACGTGGACGGAAAGTCTACAGATGAACTAAAGCTCAATAATATCTGCGTGTTACTTGTTGATATCTGACTACACGCTCTTCCACTTTTCATAGCTTGTGGTCGTGTTGATGTGTAATACATACGTGATATGAAAGGACACCCTCATTGCTCTTTTTCCGTGCTTCGAACTAGACGCCTGCAACTCACAACAATTTCCCGACATGCTGACCAACAAGCACACGTTTATTCATGCTCTTTTCTTTCTCCATTCTTCTAAAGATGGTTTTCACCTTGATAATTTCACGAAATCATTAAAACTGGTGCAACAAAGATCAGACGCGACGAGCGAGTGCGCTCCTGCGCTTCGGCGCCAGTCGGCGCCACGATAAGAACGTTCGGATCGTACACGTCATCGCTACTAGGGCATCGTCACTCAGGATGGTATTTGTGGAATCTATCACACCAAACACGTAGCACTAGTGTCGATGTCACAGGGCAGTCTATTTTCCGTTTTTTCTCCTTAGCTTTTCTACGCTGTTTGGCATCGAATTAAAATAACTTCCACGTGACGGATGCCGTTCAAATTTGGCCAAGAAGACCTATTCATAGCAAGCGATCGAATGATGGGCACATCTCGACCTTGAAGTTTGATGTCAGTGCTCCTTTAATCTTGTATGCATAAGACGCTCAATTGTTTTGCTGAAAAATAGAAGAATACAAATTGGCCTATAGTTACTCAGAAGTTAGCGATCAACAGCCCCTACATAGACAAGATTTGGTCAGGATCATTAATTAACGTTCACTGCAGTTCCCGCAACCTGTAAGCCTAACAGTGAGATAATCCGCCTTACGCCTTGGGGCAGTTTTCAAAAAAAAAAAAAAAGCTGAGACCTAATGAAGGAAAATTATCATCCGTACACGTGCTAGGCTAATGGTGAGAGGCACTCTCTAATCATTTGATCAGAGACCAGATTAGATAAAAGCTTCTCTGATGAACAATTTTAGGGTATACGAAAAGCTGTTTGTTGATGGGGGCCTTATTGTCTGGACTTGATGCATCAGAGCATTCTACAAGTATATACAACACACTGAAAGCATGATAAAAAGGCTATACGACGGATTAAAAAGAACAATTCAGCACTTGCAGCCGTGAAACGAAAATGTACTCACAGGCCTTCCCATCCTTGAAAGTATCTGAAACAATTATGGTTAATGATGTGCGTTTTGTCCAGCTGTTACACTTTAGCAGTATACAGCGAAAACCAGGTAGCATTTCCGTAACAAGGAACATGCTTCCCACACCATGTTCTGCCCATCTTCCTATTGTAGTGGCAGTCTTCCAGGGCAATCATTCATCTTGCTATTCAAGGTTGCTAATATTGCCTTACGAGTTCCACCTGCGGGATGTCAAAAGCTAGCAGGAATTTATTCATAGAGTGCTTTAAGCTGGGTTCGCACAACGAAGCGAACTTCGTGTACGAGCAATACGTGGCTTCGTGACACCCAACTGCTCCGCACAAAATAATAAATTGAATAAGAAGGAAGTGAGGAAATTGGTTGCGACTCAACCATGTCACGCTCGTAGGCAAAATGTGGTTTGTCTTGTGAATTCACCTCTATGAGACACAGAACGAGAAGATAGGTGACGCTTGTGCTGTTTGACACCTGAACGTTTTATTTTGCGCATATCAGATTGCAGCGAGCAAAGGATGACACGATTGCTGTGTTGTGTCAGCCTTCTTCAGTCTGAAATCTGTTTAGTCTGTTTGGAATGATTGATATATTATAAATATTTTAAGTAGGTTCAGTAATATTAGGCTTGTCCGTGCATTGTCACATGGGCACGCAGTGGTTAATGCAGGCCTAAAACAAGGCTAACAATGCCCCAAACGAATGCAAAATAAACTAATGAGGTGTAAATTAAGCTATACAGAAATAATCGATAATCAATTGGTATGAATTATCTACAATCGCGAAGAATGCTTCTGAAACATACGGCTGATACACACGCCATGCTATAGAGGGCGCCACCGCCTCGCAAAGCGTGCGGTTGCTATAGGGGAGTCACTGGGTTGCCCGCGCTACGCACTTTCTCATGACGGATTCCACTCGTTGAGCGGGAGTAAATTTTCTTGCTCCGTGGCCGAGAATCTGCATTCCGCTGGTATATTCGGAGCAAGTGTGCGTGCTGCAGTGGCAGATTAGGAGCAACTCACTCCGTGACGGGCGTTCCGCGTGCTCCGTTTGCAGAGACGGATTTCGCGGGAACTCCGAGAAAGCGTTGCCGTCATTTCGGGCACAGTCGGGCAGCGCTGTTGCTGCTGTTGCAGCAGTTCTGAGCGTTTTTTTTTCTTTTTCGAGGCGGTGCCCTCTGCACGGCTTTACATTTCTAAAATGGCATTGTTTGATGCTGTTGGACGTGCTGCGGCTGGTTTGCTTC